AGAGAAAACGAGAGTAGAATGGTGGTTACCAGGGTCTGGGGGTTGGTGGGGGGAATGGGAAGATGTTGGTCAAAGGGTACAAACTTTCAGTTATAAGATGAATAAGTTCCAGGGATCTAATGTACAGCATGATGACTATAGATAATAATACTGTATTATATACTTAAATGTTGCTTTACTGTTCTCACAATAACAACAACAACAAAATGGTAATTATGTGAGATAAAGGATGTATTAACTAACCTTATTGTGGTAAACATTTCCCAATATATACATATATAAAAACATCACACTGTACACCTAATACTTACACAATGTTATATGTCAATTATATTTCAATAAATCTGGAAAAAATAATATAAGTCACCCAGAGGAAAAAGAAAAATACACATACATACTAATTTCTGAAAAAAACATCATCATAAACTTGGGAAGTCTTGGGTAGCAGCCTGTTTCAAGACAGATGCAGGATGGCCAAGAAAACATAAGTGACACTACTTAATGGTTTTAAGAAAGGCAACTTCGGGGTGGTATTCATCCATCTGGGTTGCCAGATAAGGACAAGGAACTTTTCAAGTGTATTCATATTATACAACCAGGGACCCTATATTTCCTGAGTTTCAGGCAGGATGGCTGATGAGAAAGATATATACAATCGGAACACTGTTGTACCCCTGAAGTCTTATCACTATTTGTGTGTTTAAAAGTCAGTTACTAATATTAATCACTTTATCATAAATTCTGCAACAGAAGTAGATATTTGAATTTTTTTCCAATTTGTTCATATATCCATGAATGAACATTACTTATTGTAGATGGCAACCATCCATTGCTTTTCTCTAGCTAAAGAGGATGGAGGCCACTCATCTTGTTCTCCCATTCCCTTCCCACAAGTTTAAAGTGCAGTAAACTACTCCTCTCTCCACTCCCGAAGCTGAGAACTTGTCTGAAAGTCACGGAACTATTGCTCTGCATAAGCCCCTGATGCCCCTAGGGGTGAAGGAAGGGAGGAGAGAGCTAGTTGATGCTAAGAGAAGAGCGCCAAGATGGGAGCTGCCTGCATTCCCTTCCTCCTTGAGTTATGCACGTAAATTCTCCATGGGTGAGTCAACTGGAGAGCACAGAAGGTGGCTGAGGCTTAAGGCCCTTGCTGGCACTCCCCAAGAAGCCCCTCCAGACAAAGATCCCCCAACAACAAAAGGCTATATGTTAGACTGTCCCTGGCAGGGACTGGTGGGGATGTCTGGGAGAAAGGGTTTAGATTGACCTCTCCTACATTAGAGAGTGCACAGGGGAGGCCCCAGAGAGCAACAATGTGCCCATTCCAAGTAAGAGAGCTGGCATCCGGACTCCTGACACATTAGGAGAACCGTTACTGAAGTAGCAACAACCAGAAGAAAAAGAACAGATAACTCTTCATGGACAGTCTTGCAGAGAACATTCTTTCTCCCTCCTCCTCATCCTTACTTAGGAGCAGAGCCAAGCAGAAAGAAAGGGAGTGACATTACCACTCCCTCCACTAACTGTTGTAGCCACAAGTCCACCTGCACCAGGAGAACGGGAAGAGCTATGAATTAAATAAGAGATTAAAGATTTTAAACGGACAGGCCTAAGTCATAATACTTGGAATGGGACTGTATTAGTTACTGAAAGTGACTGCAGTTATGGGACCAGAGTAGAATATTCTTAAGGGAATCCGTTCAACAGAGTTAAGTGAATTTCTAAAGACAGTGGTAATGGTTATAGGGGAAACAAATTAAATCGCTTCATATTTATATCTCACAAGTGAAGACTTTACAAACTGGCTATATACTTATCATAATCTATAATTATTTACTAGTTTATTGTCTTCCCCATAAACTATAAGCACCGTGGATCAGAGACCATGTCTATGTTGTTCACTATTGTATCCCTCGAGTACAGCATACATGCTCAACAATAATTTGATGAATGTAGATTCCTTATCTTTTAAAGATACAAACTGAAATGTCTGCAGAATAAACAATGTGATGTCTGATATTTACCTTAAAATAATTCAGGAAGGTAGAGGTGAGACAGTGCGTGGGAATATAAACAGAACAAGATTGATAATTCTTAAAGCTGGATGATGGGTACACGGGGTTCATTATAATCTCTTTTGTTTAAGTTTTTAAAATAGTGGTAGGGCCTCCCTGGTGGCGCAGTGGTTGAGAGTCCGCCTGCCGATGCGGGGAACACGGGTTCGTGCCCCGGTCCGGGAGGATCCCACATGCTGCGGAGTGGCTGGGCCCGTGAGCCATGGCCGCTGAGCCTGCGCATCCGGAGTCTGTGCTCCGCAACGGGAGAGGTCACAGCAGTGAGAGGCCCGTGTACCGCAAAAAAAAAAAAAAAAATAGTGGTAAAATTATAGTTGTTTCTTAATTTTTTTCTCAACATAATATAAAAACATCTAAATATACATAAAAGGTAAAAGTGAACACCCATATAACGACCATGTATTTGACAATGTTAATGTTTTATTATATTTATTTACCCACATCTATCTTTCTATACATTTATCCATCTTATTTTTGATGCATTTCAAAGTAATTTGCAGACTTCATTACACTTCACTCCTTAACACTATAGCATGCATATCATAAACTTCAAAAATTTTTACCATTTCTTTTTTTTTAAGGTAAAATTTACTTACAGTGAAATCATATATTTACTATATGTAAACATATCATATATTTACTATATAAAATAACATTAATATAATCTACACAAAATACATATTATTTATATTTGTCCTTATATTTAGAAGTTCATAGCATGTTATGTTTGTGTTCTTCCAAAATTCATATGGTGAAACTCTAACCCCACAATGTAATGGTATCTGGAGATGTGGTCTTTGGAAGGTAATTAAGGTTAGATTAGAGTAGGGCATGAGGGCATGAGGGTATCCTCATGATAGGATTAGTGCCCTTATAAGAAGGCCATTAATCCTCACCCTCACCCTCACCCTCTCCCTGCATGCACCCACTGGGGAAAGGCCATTTAAAGTTATACTGAGAAATCTGCAACCCAAGGAAAGAGTCTTCACTGGGAACTGAATTGGTCAGCACCTTAATCTTGGAATTCCCAGCCTCCAGGACTGTGAGAAAATAAATTTCTGTTGTTTAAGCCACCAGTCTATGGTATTTTGTCATGGCAACCTGAGCACACGAAGGCATAGTGTTATTAGGAAGCCACTGAAGGGGTTCATTACATACTTTCTTAAAGAGCACTCTGGCTGAGTGTGGAGGAAGGAATGAAATAGGACAAGAATAGATTCAGGAAGACTGGATAGGAGACTATGACTACTGACTAGACTAGAGGTGATCTTAGCTTGCCTAGAATCATAGGCAAGCAGAGACCAAAAGAAGCAAGTGAGTACAAGAAATATTTAGGGGGTAAAAGAGACAGGATTTGTTGAGAGCATAAAGCTGTGCCATTGCTGGCTGGTAGTACCACCAGTCACTAAAGTAGGGAACACAGAGAAGAAGCAGGCTTTATTTTTGGAGGGCCAGGTAGGGGGATGGAGGTTGAGTTCAGTTTTGGACATATTCAACTTGAGATGCCTATGCGGTTCAACAGACATTTGGATATATATATCCGGAGCTTTGAGGACAGGGCTGGGCTGGGGATAAACACATGGGGGTCACCAGCATAAAAATTATCATTAAAGCATGGAAACGATTGAGATTGTGTAGGGAGAAGTATGGGAAGGTCATGAGGAACACCATGATTTAAGGAGTGAGTTAGAGGAGCAGGAGTCAGCTAAGAATGAAAAGAAGTGGTAACAAAGGTGCTGAGCCACAGAAGCCCAAAAAAGAAGTTAAATAAACTAAATGTTTAATGGCATTTGGTGAAGACAAACAACTTAATGAATCCCTTCACAACAAGGATGATTTCAAACATACCACCAGAACATCTGAAATCTGTTGGCCATTGATCTGAGGTTTTCAATGCGTGGTCCCCACAAGAGCAGCATCAACATCACCTGGGAACCTGTTAGAAATGAAAACTGGGTGGCCCCACCTCATAAACCTACTAAGTCAGAAATCCTGGGGTGTGGCCCAGCAATCTGTGTTTTAACAAGCCTTCTGGGTTATTCTGATGCTCACTAAAGTTTGAGAATCGCTGCTCTAAGCAGTGCTTAGAGAGCACCTGACAACCATTCCTTTAGGAACCAATCCCCTTTCCGATAAACACATTTTCCTTTAGCTCTGTTAATACATTCTGCCAAATTGCTAGAGCCTGGGCAGCAAGATTTGGTCAATACCCCATTTATTGTAACACAGATCCTATCCTGATTTTAACGTTCCTGCTCAACAACCAACTACCTACCGCTTCTCCCTCCACTGGGTGTATCTTTTTTTCTTATTCATAACATCTAAATATTTATAATGTCTGCTCCTTCATCGCTTCTCTTTGTGCATTTTTTTCAGTCTCTGATCCTGCTACCAACTGAACAAATCTCTAAATCTCAGTTTAAATTCCTGAGTGACATATATTGTTGGTGAAACCACAAATTGGTACAATTTAGTAATTTGGCATCATTTATCAGAACAGAAACAGCGCCTTCGACCTAGTAATTCCACTTCTAGGAAATGATCCTACAAAGGTACTTGCACATGTGCAGAAAAGGGACGCTCTTCGGGTGAGTATGTCGAGGCTGTCTGGGTCAGAGAGGCCTGTTCACACCTCACTTCACACTTGAGTCAGAAGCAGCAGGGGAAGCCCTCACAGCCTCAGCGTCCCGCACGGCCGTCCCCAATACCGGCCCAAGCCGGCTGCGACTTGATTTTCTCTCGCTTTCCGGGAAGGGAGAACGAGTGCCACCGCCAAAAACCGTGACCGCGGCCCCACTGGCCGCTAGCCGCCCGCCGCCTGCCGCCCGCCGCCTGCCGCCCGCCGCCAGCCGCCAGGGGGCGGTGCTCCGGAGGGGCGGGAAGGGGCCGACGGGGCGGGGATCGGGGCGGGGCAGTCGGGGTGATGGCCCCGGTTGTCGTCGCCGTCGCCGCCGCCGCCTCAGCAGCAGTAACCGAAGTCAACGCCGCCGCTGCCGCCTCCCGGGTTGCCGGCCGTCCGCGCGCTGGCTCGGCCGGGACCCGCAGCCATGGAGGACTTCATCGTGATCTCGGACGACAGCGGCTCCGAGAGCTCCGGTGGGACCCGCTCGGGCCGGGCGCGGAGGCTCCGCCGGGCCCTGTCCCGGACCACCGGCGCGCTGCCCCGCCGGACCGTGGTGAGTGAGCGAGCCGCCGCTTCCCGAGCCCCGCCGCGACCGGAGCGCCGCCTCCGCTCGGGCCACCCTCGGCCCGGCCCGCTGGCTCCGGCGGCCCCGCCGCCCGGCCCTGGGCGCCTCACAGCTGCAACCGCTTCCCGCCTTGCCGCCTTCCTGTCGTGTTCTACCCTGAGGAGTGCGGCTGGCCCGGGTCGGGAGGCTGGGCCTCCCGGGCTCCGCACTCAAGCCCGAGCGGGCTGAGGCTGGAGAGTGGCCGCCGAGCACATGGACGAGGTCCGGGTGCGGGGGGTGCAGGAGCCCACAGCGGGCGGCGGTCTCAGGCCGGGCCATGCGCTTCCCCGAGCCTTGGCGGGGGTGGCGGCCGGGGGGCCCGGGGGCACGCAGGGTCCTAGGGGTAGTCCCGGACCTCGAGGCGGGGACGCGGGAGCGTGTAATTGTTTGGCTTGTGGTGGGTACAGATGTATGCAGGGAGGTAACAGGAGCCCGGGCGGGGAGGGAGGGAAGCTGGGGCCTGGGCCAGATGGTGGCCGCGCTCCAGGGCCTGGCAGCCGAGCGAGGGGCCCGATTTTGGAGTTGTGCAGGAGGGCCGTTTATTTCTCTTAGGAAACATTTACCAGGCTCTAAAGGAATAAGGAGGGAAACATCTTGCACGATTTCTTTTTCCCTCAGGCTCTTTGTCCTTCTTCCTAAGGCAGTGAATAAAACATCTATGGTCCCTGCTTTTCTAGAATCCTCCACAGATATTTATTGAACCCCTACTATGGGCCTGATGTTCTAAGAGCTGGGGATGCGATGGAGAACACAACATTCGCGGCTTCTGTCATAGAAGGTGATATAATCAACAAGTGGCTATTGAGTACTCAAGGGATGGGAGGTGGGCAAGGCTTTCTATCAGGAGACTCCCAGCATCAGACTTCCAACAATCTTCCCAGCCTCCCAAAGCCACACCCCAGAAATAACAGAATTGTCACACTGATGTTATTTGTAAACCCCTTTCTTCCTTTGCAAATACTTCATCAAGACAAATCTAGCTTCTGCTTCTCCAATCCCCTTCCCATTGTTTGTAGTCCCTAAGCCTCCACTGTGAGCCACTTGAGGTATAGTGCTAAATCTAGGAGGTCACTGTAGAATAAATGGCATGCAAAACCAATTAACTTATAGTGCTATGTTGCCATGATTCAAGCAAGAGGGATCCTCAATAAATTTCAGTAAAGAATTTAGATGAGATGGACAGACAAAAGATTTTCAAGGTAAAAGTGACCCAACTTGGGAAGTGAATGGATGTCCCTAGTGCTGTGACAGTGTGGGGGACATACTAGATCCACAATAAATATTTGTTGGATGAAAGAATGGTTGACGGAATGGGAGAGCGAGCAGTTCAGATGGATGTTTGACGATGAGAGCAAATACAGTAGGAGCAGGCTTGGGGTGGAGGGAATGCTGCATTCAGTTTGAACGACAGAGGACTTGAACTCTGGAGAAAAGTCAGGACTGGAAAGATTTGGTAACCATCTAAACAGAAAGGAGCATCGAAGGTCTAATTGTGACCGAGATAATCAAGGGAAAGAATATAGAAAGAAAAGAGGTGGAAGAAAAAAATACTGCAGAATAACTCCCAACTGCATCTCCTCCCAGTTCCTCCTCTTTCCTATTCCTCCTTCTCTCAATCCCCCTTTAATCTGTCCTTCCTACTAACTTTGTCCTTTGCTCCCAAGTGGTATCCATCTTCCCTCATCCTGGGTCAGCTTCCTTCTTCAGGTGCCCAGATGTCATCCTTATCCCAGTCTGTCGCGTGTGTTGTGACCCTTCACACACATACATAGGGGCACTCTCAAACTGCCCCCCTCCCCTCCCTTGTGACCACCCAACCAAGCATTTTGATTTGGAGCTTTTCGAATTGAAGAGAAATGAAGGGCAAGTTCCAGAGTAGTACCCAGTGTAAATCTCGCTTCTCCAGAGACTTACTCCACCTTTCTAAAAACTCTGGGCTAGTTCTCCTTTTATCTTTCTTGCAAGTTAGATAAGGGTGGTATGATAACCACACAAAAGATCAGAGGCATTGAGAGAGCAAGGTTATAAAGCCTCAAGCGCCTTTGTCCAGCTTCTTCTCAAGGCCCTGAGGTCAGAGAAACCTCTGTTTAAATACGGAACTCGGAACTCCCCCGCCTCCCCCCCACCCCAACAGCTGTGTGAGCTTTGGCAAGTTCTGTCATCTCTCTCAGATTTTGCATTTGAGAACATTAATACCTACCTGGCAGGACCATTAGAAGGTTTTTAATGAAGCAATGCAAGAAAAATGCCAGCATAAATGATAGCTTTTGCTACACTTTGTGCTGTTTCTCAAGCTTGGGAAGCAATGAAATGAAAGAAACAAGTTTTGTAATTTTTTTTTCTTTTTTACAAATATTGACTGAGGGGAAACAACTTGCTTGAATTCAGGAAATCAGAAACCCATCTCCAATGCTGAAGTTGATGTTTCTGAACTTCTGGCTCTTAACCTGGGCTTTAGTCTTCAGTAAGTTGATGAAATGTGTCTGTGTTTTTTTATAATATTTATTGCTTTTTTCCCCCCTACTTATAAAAGCAGAACATATTCAGATAATTTTGGTTGCCCTAATTACAAAAAATTGAGAAATGTATATAGAAGAAAATTTAATTGCCCTTAATCTCGCTATCCAAAGATAACCAATGTTAACATTTTGAAGTATGCCTGGCTAAACTTTTATTTGTAAATACCAGTGTGCACTCATACATAGCCATGTGTCATCCCCATATGTTTTTGCAAAAATGAAGTCTTGCTATACTTCATTGTTTTCAGTTTGCCTTTTCTTTTAATATACTTTTTATCTCTTTCTGCATCAATAAATACACATCACCAATATTTTTAATGTATTTCATTGTATAGATTTATAATTACATTTCTCTTTTCCTATAAATGGATATTATGCTGCCATTTCTAAATTTTCTCTATTATAAACAACTCAGAAATTTCCTCATAAATAATCTTTGTACCTTTGTTTGTTTGTTTGTTTGTTTAGGATAAGGTCCTCTTAGAAGTGAGATTGCTGAGTCTAAAGGTATGCCCTCTTTGGAGGGCTTTTGATATATATTGTCATATTTCCTACAGAAATCGTGCACCAATTATATTTTCACCGTACCCCTTTCTCCACTACCTAGTCAATATCTACCCCTAGATACTGTCAATTTATTGAGTATGTAAATATTTATTGAGCACTTACTATATGCCAGGCACTCTTGTAGTTGCTAAGAATATGGCTGTGTAACAAAACCAAGTCCCTGTTTTTGTGGAGATTTCACTTTAGTCAGAGGGAGACAAAGAATAAACAATCACATAAATGTCATGTCAGAGTGTTAGGAAGAAAAGTAAGGAATTTTTGTTCTTTTAATATTTGCTGATTTGATAGCCAGATTCTGTGAGCTGTCATGGTTTTAATTTTTTCTATGGTTGTGGATTGTGATTCATTCTCTCATTAAATACATATTGAGCACATGCTCTGACCTTGGGTACCAAAGGTGAACAGGATGACAATGGACCTACATTCTAGTGAGGAAATAAGAGCAATAAACTAACAAATAAGTGAACAATGTAATAGAGAATAACTTGGGTGGGGTTGGGAGCGTTAGATTGCGTCTTCAAAGAAGGCCTTTCTGAAGAGTTAATGTTTGATAAGAGAACAAAATGACAGATTTGTTATGAGAAGATCTTGGGGAATAAAGTAGCAGTAAAGGGTGCAGCAAAAACAGAGGCTTGAAATTTGGAAGGGGCATGACTAATTGGAAGAATCAAAAGGCCAGTGGGGCTAGAATGTGAGTGAAGGACAGAGTTGGAAGAGATGAGAAGTAGGTGAGCTAGGTTATACAGGACCTTCTAGACCACAGTAAGGAACTTGGATTTATTCTTATGTAATAAGAAATCTTCGAAGGGTTTTTAGCGGGGGGAAAACATGATCTGATTTACACTTCTAAATGGTGACTTTAGGGGCTTCCCTGGTGGCGCAGTGGTTGAGAGTCTGCCTGCCGATACAGGGGACACGGGTTCATGCCCCGGTCCGGGAAGATCCCACATGCCACGTAACGGCTGGGCCCGTGAGCCATGGCCGCTGAGCCTGCGTGTCCGGAGCCTGTGCTCCGTGACAGGAGAGGCCACAAGAGTGAGAGGCCCACGTACCGCAAAAAAAAAATAAAGGTGACTTTAGCTACTGTGAGAAGAAAAGACTGTAAGGCAAGGTGACCATATAATTTGTCATCCAAATGGGGATTCTTTTGCAAATGAAAGGAGTTACTAACTGGACCGGGTATCAAGCAACAGGTGAAGACTAAACTGTCCCAAACAAACCAGCTTCACCTTACTATAAGGGGACAAAAGTGGATCAGGGAGATCAGTCTTGGAGGTTTCATTAGTAGTCCAGACCAGAGATAATTGTAGCTTTGTAGGTGGTGCAACTGGAAGACTGGAGAGATATGGAAGGCATTTATAAAGTAAATCCTGATCTTTGGATGTGGTTAATGAGGGAAAGGGAGAAATCAAAAATGATGCCCTGGTTTTGGCCTGAACAACTGGATGCAAGTTGGTGTCAGTCATTGAAGTGGGGAAGACTTGGGGAGGAACAGGGTTGGAGGAAAGATTCAAGATTTCTCTTTAAAAGGTGTTAAATTTAAGATACCTGTGGGAGAGCCAACTGGAGATGCAAGGTATAAGGTTTGTACTGAGTTTGGAAGCCAGGGGAGAAGTCCTGACTAGTTTGGTGTCATTAGCACATAAGTTGTAAAGTCATTGACCTAGAAGAGTTCATCTAGGTTGACAGTGTACAAGAGGAAGAGCATCCAGGATCTAGCCCTAGAGCATGCCACAGTGCCTGGCCCAGGGGAAGGCAAGGGGAGGAGGAGCAGCTAGTGAGGTTGGAGATCAGAGTGTGTGCTTGGCATGTAGGAGAGCTGGACGTCTTCCACGTTTATTGGAGATCTCTCTCTCTATATAT